GTATGGTGTATGTAGATGTACGTATGCATGCATGCATGCCGTGTGCATCAAGTTCCTGTGTACACGTGTGTAAGTTACAGCAGATCACGTGGCAGTTGAGGGGTTGGTACCCGATGGCGTGCTACTGTCCATGCACCTGTCCCTTCCCACAAGAGGACTCACATACGTGGGTCCTAATGCACCACAAAACCCCGCAACCCCGCAACCCTAAAGCATCCACACCCATGCATGGCAAGACACACCCACACGTACCTAATTCACACACAACTACCAAGCACAGGGGGACATACCCTCACCCCCCCCCAGCCCCACCCACACGTACCTGCAGATCTCCAAACAAGCCCGCATGCAATGGAACTCGCCCATGAGCCGCAGAAACGGATACACAGCCAATGGATCACGCATGCACATGAGATCAACGTATTGCGCGTACAGCGCAGCGAACGCCGAGGCCATGGCGCGGGATTTGGCTTCGTCAGCGTACACGCCGCTGCTACCACTGAAGACGTCTACGTAGACACCGTACAACAGAGACTCCTACCATCGTAAACAGAAGGGCGTAGGTATGGGTGAGCGTGTATGTGTATTTGTATGTGAATGTGCATGTGCATGTGTGAGTGCATGTGTATGTGTACGTGTACGTGTATGTGGAGTATTTGTATGTGTGTCTTGCTATGGATTTGCGTGCCGACGTACGCCGTTCCAGCCGAGTACATGCTGCGCAACAGCGTGTACGAGCATGTCAGTTCACATAGAAACAGTTTGTCTCTGCTCATGTGTAGAGTGCATCGATATCCATGGACATAGCAACAGGACAGACAACAACGCAGAGCAGTCTCAGGACTGTGGGGGAAGGGAACTATACATAACTATGCAAACATGAAGTCATCTCTGATATACATACATGAACTCTCATCTCTGATAAAAAACAATCCTTATAGTATCCTCCCCAATCTGCCAGACCCTACTCAACCACACCCCCACCCACACGCCAATACACCACGTCACACCTTTCGCTGGACATCCTCATCGTCCGCAAAGTAGGTCTCCACAGCAAGTACGATCTCGTCCAAAGGTATCTCCATGGTAACCATCATCAGCTTTAGAACGGCTATCCTGTGCTTCCGCTCCAACAGCCCCACACAGTGCCGCAGAACATACGAACGCACCATCGTGGCATGCGCTACGATATGCAGTGCGCGGGTGTGTATGTGGGTGGCCGGGGTACTCGGCGTACCCACAATATCCCTACCTATCATATTGCTACCCACATTATCTGCGCCCTGCGCTTGTGTCTGTGTGCCTGTTGTGCTACCCGGTAATGTTGCGTGAGTCTGGTAACTTGCCCTATGGGCATACACACTTGTTGTATCCGTGGATATGCCTACCTCCCCATCCGTGTCTATGTCTACCTCCACCCTCTCACCTGTATCTGCCTGCCTGTCCGTGTGAACCTGTGTGTGTATGTGTGTGTGTGCGGAGTGTGGGGTATCAGGACCATCTGGGCTGTGGCGGGGTAGGGTAGTGGTAGTTACACCTTCCCCTCCATTGTAACCTGTATTCGTGTATGTTTCTGATCTCCTCTCACTATGTGACACATTTACGGTCGGCGAGGTACCCAAGCGCCCCTCTGAGTCATCCACTTCGATATTAGTCCGCCTAGGGCTCGTGCTCCGCTCAGAATCCTCCCCTCCACTCGTGTCGGTCAGTATGGTAACTTGACTATAGTCCACATTCCCAGCGTTGTTGGTCCGCCCTTTTGATACAGTGCCCAACACACCCGTGACCCACAGTTTCGCAATCACTTCCAGCAGAAGCTCTTGACGTTGCTTGTCCAATCGGTAGCAGTCCAACACCTATAGGTAAGGAGTATAGGGTGTTACACATACACAATGACTTTGCGACACTACATAATATATATACATATACATATATATATAACGACACTACATGATATATATATATATAGCGACACTACATGATATATATATATATATATATATTTATATAAAATTTATATATATACATATATATATATATATATATATATATATATCTTGCGGGCGACTGTTGTGTGATGTGTATCGTAGTGCGCCCATGTGAAAAGGCGTAGTGATTGGGTATAACATGGACAAATACTCTACCACTAGAAGGCTACATACAAGGCACATGCGAAGTAATGGCCGTCAGATAAGGTAGTGAGTACTTGCGTAGGGCTCAAGCAATTATACTTTCGCATGTCATGTACATGTATTTATAGAAACATTCAATGAATCACATATACATCATTTGAGCGTGTACGTATGTATGCTTAACATATAGCTACACATCCACTATACATATGGGCATATAAACTAAGTTCATCTACATACGTACTGTATAGTACACTTACCATGGAGTCTGAGAACGGATTGCTATCATACAAGCTGATACAACAGGAAGAGCAGGAGTGTCTTATGCGTGCAATCTATGAGTTATATGTTTAAGAGTGTCTTAAGCGTACATACTATGAGTTATATGTGTAAGAGTGTCTTATGCGTGCATACTATGAGTTATATGTGTAAGAGTGTCATATGCGTGCATACTATGAGTTATATGTGTAAGAGTGTCTTATGCGTACATACTATGAGTTATATATGTAAGAGTGTCTGATGCGTGCATACTTGCAAGAGTTTACTAAGCGTGCATACTATGAGTTATATGTGTAAGAGTGTCTTATGCGTGCATACTATGAGTTATATGTGTAAGAGTGTCTTATGCGTGCATACTATGAGTTATATGTGTAAGAGTGTCTTATGCGTGCATACTATGAGTTATATATGTAAGAGTGTCTGATGCGTGCATACTATGAGTTATATGTGTAAGAGTGTCTTATGCGTGCATACTATGAGTTATATATGTAAGAGTGTCTTATGCGTGCATACTATGAGTTATATATGTAAGAGTGTCTTATGCGTGCATACTATGAGTTATATATGTAAGAGTGTCTGATGCGTGCATACTATGAGTTATATGTGTAAGAGTGTCTTATGCGTGCATACTATGAGTTATATATGT